ATTTTGAAAAATACCGTGTTTTAAAAGACCAAACAAAGAAGGCTCTTCTAGACGTCTCTTTGAATGAAGGGAGAGCAGGTATGCAAATTTTGGGGTAAAACCGGTTTTTTGCTAAAAACATCGACCATTGGATTCGTCAGTTCATGTTATTCGGGTGTATAAGAACGTTTGTATATGCATTTTAAGGTATTTAAAATACCTTTATTTTAAAAAATTTCAGAAATCAAAAGAAAAAAGGTTAGAAGGTCATCCTGGCTTAACTCCAATTTATTTAGTTATAGCTCCGAGAAACGAATTCTAGGAGTTTTTTTAGTGTTGAATTAACTTATTTTTCTTACTTTTGTATCGTGTAGCATTTATTTGTATTTTCTAGGCTCTGAAAGGCCCTGGATATCGTTAGATACATATTCTTACCTGTTTCGGTCATTTTCCAGGGATGCTTCTGAATTTCTGGATTTTTTCAAGCTGGCTAGCTATTTTTTTATCATCCTAGTAGTATTACAATCACTACTACATCCACATGTCCAACATCGTGCCCACCCCTGCCTGCTCACTACAAATGATGGGCCATGTGTGTGTGTGTGTGTGTGAGTGCGTGTATGTCCCCATGTTCCCCTGTTCTACACACCGGGATGTGGCCAGAATGAGACAATGAATGACCCGTCCCTCGTTCTCTCGGTCTCTCTCCTCCGCCCACTCTCTCGCTTGCCTATGTGCCCTCGGGTCACATTCCAGCCTCCCTTCACTACGCCATGGCACCCTCTGGCCACATGTCCCCCTTTCCCTCCCCCGCCACTTCCAGCTTGCATCCGGCGAACACGGCACGTTGCTATTCGAAATACTACTAAAAACGTAGTTGCTGTTTTACAGGATTTTTAAGAGGAGCAGTATGTCTGCCTGTATTTCTCTCTCCCTCTCTCTCTCTCTATCGCTCTCCCTCTATTTACCTCTCTTTTCGATGTCTCTCCTCTTGGTATTACTCATTCCCCCTCCTAATTCTCTCACTGTCGCTGCTCCAAATTACACGAATTACAATGAGGCAGCACCTTTATTTAACTGTTCTTCTTTAACTATAAGCCTCCTCTCTCTCTCTCTCTCTCTCTCTCTCTCTCTCACACACTAGCTCTCTCTGCCTTGTGCGCTCTTTCTCCCTCTGTCTATCTATCTATCCCGCTCTTTATCCTACTATTCTAGAATTGCTGATTTCATGACATAACCAGTTGCTTTCCGGAATTCCGAAGCTTTATTTTTGCCGTTTTCGCCATCATTAATTCGATAAAACAGGCGGTTCGCGCTTCTTCCTTTTCGGAGAGTTTTTTCATTTCGGGTGTCCGATTCCTGGCTTAAGCCGCTCGGATATCCCCGCCAATGGCCAATTAGACTCCAGACGACGCTGATCTCGTTCTTACGCTTCTCTCTCTCCCACTCTTTCTCCCTCTTTCTCTCTCTCGCTCACTCTCTCTTGCTCTCTCACTCTTTCTCGCCTTCTTTAAAGCTGAAGTAATCCGGCGGCATCGACTTTTCTATAAAAAACCCAGGGCCCCAAATATTCCCACCAGCACCGCAACCGACCCATTCTCATCGGAAACCCACACTAGAAAAGCTCTTCCCAAGCCCCGTCAATTACTCGTGCAGAGTATTCTCTCGTACTCGTACTGGCCCCTCCTTTCTGGGGTATTTTCCACGAGTGAGTGAGGCAAGAAGGTACGAATTCTTACGCTTCGCCACCCCACCCTAATTGCGGCGACGGGTTCAGGCAGCAGGAGGGTTGGCTTTGTTCATTTGTTCATTCGAGCCTAGGGAACAAAAGCGGGGGCTTTTTTGCTGTGGGAACAGTTATTTTTGGAAAATGACTTGTTGATTCTGGAATTCCGGGCTTTTTAGAACTTCCTACAACTCCCAACATAAAACTTTATGGGGGTTTTTTTGTCTCGTAACGGAGCTTACGCGTTGCGTATTATTTCTTGCTCCACTATACGGCGCTGTAGAAATTTTTAGCGGCTGGTGAGATGTTCTGTTAGATCTAATGGGCAGTTTTACCTAGAAAAATTTGCAATTTTTGGAGAGTTTCGTACCGACAAAGGTTTTTCAGGAAATGGCTTGGAAGGCCCTTCTAAATTTTCTGTTTCGATTTTCGTAAGGTGGCTGTATATCTTCAGGAAACTCGGGACGTGAATTAACAACCTAGCAACATCATGGTCTAGCTTTTTAGCAAACGTTTCTACAAGCTTCTCAATTTTTCTTTTGCTGTCTATCTAATACCCGCTCTCTCGTTTGCGCTCTCTTTCCCTCTCCGCTCTCCCTCTCCTCTCTCTCTCTCTCGCTCTCCTCTCCCTCGCTCCTCTCTCTTCCTCCCCTCCCTCACTTTTAAGCTTTTTTTGCGGTTTTCACGTCCTTCTATCCATCTTATTTCTCTTTGGTTATCTTCCGTCTGCTCGCTAACTTGCCTCCCTATCCCTCGCACTCTTTCTATCTCTTTCGCTCACTAACTTACTCTCACTCTCTCGCTCTCTCTCTCTCTCTCTCTCTCTCTCTCTGTCTCCCTCTCCCTAGACAACGTGATTATCCAAACTTCCCCAAAATACCGGAAAATTTTTCTATTTCCAGCGTCCACTCGGGTCAACCAATGCGCGAAAATCCGCCGTTTTTTCACATTTCTACCAGACGTCGTAGAGACCCGATGAGGGATGGGAGTGTGTAGAAGGGATGGTTGACCACCACCTGCCTCCCCCACCCCCTAGCAGTTAAGCCGATTTCTTCGGGTTCGGATGGGGTGTGTGGGGGAGAAGGGCGCGAGGAGGCTCAGGCTGATGCTGCAAAAAGTGAGAAGAGGAAGAAAGAAAACCAAAGAAGCCACCACCCCGGCAAACAGCTTTTTCGCACCGATTTTCGGGTGTACGCTTTGGGGCTTGTGAACTGTTGCGCTTTCTAAATTTTGTAGAGTAGTGGTAGTAGTTTTTTACTTAAATGCAAAAAGTTTTTGAATTGTTTTGAAGGGTTGCACTGATGCTCTGACTTTCTCTCTGACTATCTCTCCCTCGCACTGTTTCTCTCGCTGCCATAATCCCGTTGCTTCTCGGAAATTCGGAGCAAAGTGCGGGTACTCGATCTCCTGGCGACCACCTTGGAGTCAGGGGTAGCTTAAAATGGATTATAGTGCCGTCCAGAAATACGAAATGGCAACGGAATTTTTAGCAGATTCGTAATTTTCCATCTTTTTAAATTTCAACCCTTCCATTAACGAGAGCTCGACAGCTGCAAATCGCGCCTTAGCTAAACCGGTTATTCAATATCTCATCGTGAGCGGTAGTGGATTTTTTCCTAACCCTTAAAGCGCCTCCTGACGGTCTTTGCATCTTGGCATAGGTTAAAAATAAATTGGGTCTCGACCTGCCAAATGGAGGTACAAATCAGATTTGCTTTGGTCTTTTAATATCGTTATATTTTTAAGACGTATAATCCCTTAATCACCAATAACCCTAGAATTTGCTCAGCTGCCACCTTTACGGCCATCTAGCCAGCGTAGAAACACTGCCCCCGTCTCATCGAGGGCATTATTGGATGTCGAATAGCCAGCGGGAGGGCGAATGATTTTTACAGCGTTTTTATGGCAATCGTCCAGATGCCCTGGGGGTAAGAAAGAGAGCCTCAGCTCGCCCTCCACACTCGTGGAAGCCATAAAATGGCAATTAGCCCGAGTTTGCTCCCCCCTCGATCGGTGTCTGTCACTTGGCCTCAAGGATTTGGGGTTAGCAGAAGAAGGAGGAGGATTATTTGAAAAAACGAGTCTCGACTTGGAACTTACTTTCTCTTCTTGTTTCTAGCCAACAACTAGGATCGATTCTCGCACATTCCAGTCCTTTTAAACCCCCAAAAATATCTCCTAATTCCCTAGTTGACCTCCCAAAACTATACAAATTGATGCTCATTTTTCAGCTTACCCCCTGACTGACCAAACCTAAAACTAAGCCTCCACATCCTCCTCCTTCTTCCACCCATTCCCCTTTTGGCGTAAGCCCCCACGCAGATTTAGTGGTTGGGTGCCAGGATGGGCCTCCCTTGCCTTCTCCTGCCCCTCTGGAGCGAAGGGGATAATTTTTGTCTTTTATGGGCTCGTCGCTCCAAAACCTCCCATCCAGGAATGGCTAGGCTACGATTCTGTCCGCTGGACGAGGTATAGGTTGTAATGTGTAGGGTGATATACCGAAAAAATACGATTTCCAGATTTTTCTTTGTTAGCTTTTTAGCACCGTCGTTCAACTTCCTTTTTCAGGTCAGCAAAGCGTTTCTCTTCAGATTCTTGCACTTTAGCTAAACGAATTAAATTAGGTGTTGCCCGGACTGGTTTTTTATCAAACTTTTTTGAATTTTTGACTTCTGGTCGCTTTTTTACTGATTTTAGACCGGTCGTAAGCTTTTTAAGATGCAAGCCTTGGGGAAGACGTTGGTTTTTGATACCTCCTCTTACGGACCGATTTTCTAGGTGTTTAACTAACTATCGTTACTAACTTTAGTAACGATTCGTTACTTTTCCAATTTTCTTTTTTTTTCTGGTGCTCAAAAGTTCGCAAAGGAAATAGAAAAGCAGCGATCCAAATCGTTTTTCGAATTACGAGCTATTTTTCGATCCAATATCGGCAATTTCTCATCTACTAAAAAACTATTACATGTACGCCCTTTCTAGGGGGTTCGAACGGTGCAAAAATCACGACAATCAGTCGTTTCTACGCCAGTATACAGCACCAACAAGTCACAGCTCCAAAGCCCCGACACATGTGTCATTAATGCTTTATTCAACCGGACAGGGGAAAGCGATGTGTGTATGTCAATTTTCGTTGTAGCAGTTTTCTTCTCTCTCTTGTTTTAATGACGAGCATCTGAGCGACGGTGTGGAACGGGTCTATTTGGCCCCCAACGACGACAGCGAGCGGGACGACGACGGGTTGCTGCGGCTGCGTGAGCGGCTCGCACGTCGCACGTTCGCGCCCTAAAACTTGTCAAGAAGCGCTTCCGGCAAGTGGTACCGGGTCCACCAGGCGGCGCTTCATCGCGTCAATGTTGATGAGGTCCTCGTCGAGCTGGCGGCGCGCAGGGCCATCCGCGGTGGCCGTCCTCAGCTCGGCGAGCGTCGCCAGCACGCGGTCGTAGCTCTCCAGGGCCTAAGCTTAGGTTTTGTAGATGATCAAGTCCCTTACACTCTTGACGAGCGGGGCGCGCGCCTCCTCGGCGACGGGCTTGTCGATGCCGTGCTTGTGCTTGAATTCGCCGACCGTACGGCGCCATCCGCGACGCGACTGCTCCGCACGCTCGCGGAGCTGGAGAAATTCAAGTCAAAATTATTTTTTCCAAATCCACGCTGCTAGCATGGCGCGGTAGATGCTCACCGTCTCAAAACGCGCATCCGAGTCCTGCTCCACCTTGACCATCTCCATCTCGAGGGCCAGGGCACGGGCTTGGAACTCGCGGTGGCCAGCGAGTTGCTTCTGCAAAAGTAAGATGAGGGCGAGTGAGCGTGAGAGCGTGAGAGAGCAAGAAGCTCATGCCCACCTCCAGTCTGGCGATCATCTCGTTGGCCTCCTCGAGGTCGTCGGTGGCCTGCGGGTAGCCGCGCATCGCCTCGTTGACGCTCATCGTAGGGAAATAATCGAATAAAAATTTGGAGATTTTAGTATCGGAAATCGTATGCAAATTAGGCTAGACTTCCGGAATTTTATTAATTGTATTCAAATTCGGATTCTGAATTTTGAATCGGCGGGATCTGTCGCTCTCTGTCTCTCGCTCTCCTCTCTTCTCTCTCTCTCTCTCTCTCTCGCTCTGTTTCTCTCTCTCTCGACGTCAACGCCACTACCGACGTTCCGATTATTACTCACCCCTTTTATTAGACCCCTCAATTGCATATTCAAATCACATCCTCCTCTCCTCCTCGCGACTCGTGCTCCATTTTGGCCCCCATTGAGTATAAGTTTCCCCTCCCTGTCATCACCCTGGGGGCTATATGTGGATGGCCTCGGGGCTATTTGCGGCCCCGAGCCCAATGCTAATTTTCAATTTGCATTCCAGCGCGCCCACGCGTGTTGGCCGTTCGGGGGACTGATCTAGAGGAGAAGAGGGGTAGGCAAAACAAAAATCCCTCATTGGTTTGCTCAATCAGTTTGTCAGATTGGGGACACAACACCTTTTTGGAGCTTATGCATTATCGGGAGGGGGGGACAGGGTGCCCTGTTTCCCGTGTCGATTTTAACGTAGATCGAATAATCTATCGAATTCTTCAGATTGTTATATTTGCCATCCATAAGCGCCAAAACTTTTTGCTAAAAATACGGAAAATATTGCTCTTTGACTGCTTTTTCTTTTTCTCTCTCCCTCTCCCATCTTTCGCTCGCTCTCTCACTCTCTCTCACTCTCTCTCTCTCTCACTCTCTCTCTCTCTCTCTCTCTCTCTCTCCTTCCCTCCCTTTTTCTGGATTTTGCTCCGGTTGATAGTTTAGCCACTTCAATTTTTTACAAAACCTCACGCTACCCAGTTTCCCCATCAACCACCGCTACCCCTCCGCGGAACCCCCAGAAAATTGCAACTTCCGAATACCCCCAGTACCCCATCCACCCAGCCCATAATTAGTCGTTGTGCGTACCAGAAGCTTGGGACAAGGGTTGGGTGAGGGCCGAGGTGGCCGGCCAGAAGGCCCCTTCATGGACCCAAGAATGGATTAGGGGTCAAGACGTGGGGGGCCCTAATGGGCCCCAGGTCTTGTGGCCACTGCCATGGGCCCTTGGGGCCCATTGCATGGGCCCCAGGGCATGCCGGGCCACGAGTTTGGTCCCCCGTCCCCTTGCCCCCAGTCCAGTCTTTACTCTTTAATCAATGTGTCACACATGCCTTGACCAGCCCTCCGCCAGGTGTAGCCGAGCGGAAAATCGGCTGCTTTATTATTATGGCATTCCTTTGCAGGATAGTCTACTGGGTTTTGGAAGCTCTAAGAAGGTCGGCGCTGGAAATTCGAATTTTTTGTTAAATTCCTGCTAGATCTAAATGTAAATTGGAGCTTTGCATACCCGCAAGGTGTAGCCGTGCGGAAAATTAGCCATTTTATTTTGCAATTAGAGACGATTTCTGAGCTTTAAAGGCACTAGAAGCTCATGTCCCAATATTTGATTTTATGGCCTGATGCTTGTAATTCTATGCCCGGTTTTTTTACCTTGCTGGCTCCTGTAAAACCTGCCCCATACGACTAGCTCCTACCTTTTACTTACCCGACTTCGTGGTGCCTTTTCGATATCCAGGGCCTCAAACCCTCTTTTCCCCCCTACGCGACACGCCTCTTGACGTTGTTTATTTTCCCTAATTACTGACGTCCATAACATTCACTTTCAGCTAGCGTTTGCTGATTTTTAGGCTCAGCTTTCACGTTTTGAGGACAAGCTAGCTGGCACTCTCCCTTTAAAGCTGTTAGAAAGGCCGTTGTCTGATGGGTCTCACTATCTCTGGCGCTCTCTCTCGCTCTCTATTTTTCTCTCTCTGTCTCTCTCGCTTTTTCTCTGTCTCTGGCTTTATAGCTATCTCGCTCTCTCACGCTTTCTCGCTTTCTTTCTCCCGTTCTTTCCTTTTTTCTTTAGCTCTCTCTCCCTCGCTCGATCTCGTTTATCTTTTTCTCTTTTTCCATCTCTTGCTCTTGGTTTTTCACTCTTTTGCTTAGCTAACCAGTAGTTTAAAAGCACCATGACAGCAAGTTTCATAAATTCGAGATGCAGCCCAGCGCATCGTCACCCTAATTCCCTACTGCCAGAATCCAATCCACCCCCCAAATTCGGAAAGTACTCCCCGTGTGAAAGTGTAGCGTTCCTCCACACCCTTCTGCCATTTCCAGAGTTCCAATTCACCCCCTACTACTCCTCTTCCTCCTCTAAACTCATTGAGTCGGGCTCGAAAAGGGCGATGTGGGTGAGAAAGAGGTGGAGGGTGTGTTTGGGCCCGTAAATGGGTGCAAGTGGCTGCTTCTCCCCTCCTGGGCCGTAGATGGGTCACTCCGAGGGAGGGAGTAGGGCCCAGTGGCCAATGCTCCTCTAGGTTCGGCCACTGAAATCCCCCTGGGGAGAATATGCAAAGTATGCGGCCACCGGAAGGGCCGGCTTTTTCTTTTCCTGCCACCGGACTCGCTCTCTCGATCGGAATTTCCGAGACACACACCCCCGGACATGGCAGTCGGACACGCGAGTACCAATATTGGTCTGGTGGCATTGGCCCATAGTCAGGGGTTTGAGGCTGTAGTTTGATGGCTGTGGAATCGAAAATTACTGGCGGTTCTGTGATTATTTTCTCGATCCTTGACCTCGATTTAACGGCCACATTCGATCGGTTTAATGCAAATTATATCTGGTTTTGCGCAAGTTTCCCTGCGTACGACTGCTTGCTTTTAGCCCTTACCTGTCTGAAGATACATTTGCCTGCCTTCGGAACTGGCAGACCCAATTTTCAAGCCGATTTTACGCACAACGTTTTATGCTAATTTTTGTTAGTATTCAGCCCCATCTTTATGAACACTCCGTTTTGAATTTCGATTTCTTTATTTTCCGTGCGCTTAACTGTTTTCAACAAGTGATTTCTTTTTGATTAAATCACGATTTTAAAATTAGTTTTTCAGTTACGCCATGCAAATCTTCGACGGGGCTTTTCCGACATACTACTCCAAACGCATTTTTCACTTCTTTGATTTTTGAAAGTCATTTTTCTCTGCGAATCAGCCTCGTCGTTTCATTTTTTTATTTTGATAATTTTACTAATCGAACTTTTTCTGAAATTTGACCGAAAATTCCGATTTTTTTTCCCTTTCCGTGGCTTTTTAGCTGCAAGATTTACGAGACTTTAGTTCGAGTGTTTACCTTTTGCGACAGCATCGAAAGCTTGAGAAGATTCAAAAGTATTTATTTCTGTTTCAAATTGCTGTTTTTGGTCTGTTAGAAGGTTATCAATTTTTTAAATGTTTCGAATTGGAACTCTTGTGAAGCGATTGAATGTACCTTTCTCTTAAAAACTGCCTTGAAATCATAGGATCATCGCGTAAAATCTAGTACGATATTCTCCCCGTCCAAATAATTGCCTCAATAACCCCCGAGGCACCCCGCTACGTGTAGATCGGCGGTTGACATTGGCCGGCTGGCTGGCAACTGGCCATCCACCCTCTACATCTCTGCCCTCTCTATCTATTCCTCACTCTCTCGCCCGAACCGCCCAAAATGCGTCCACTTGTTCCCGGGGCCAGAGAGGGAGGCCGGCCACAATTTGGGCCCTAGACCCAGGGAAGCCGATCCCGGGCTCGCCCCTCCAAAAAAACGCCTGGAAAATGGGTTTTCGGTTTTTGGGGAGTGTCTACCGCCGGCGGAGTTAGACTTATTTTTGGCTATAATTAATTTTATACCTTTTGTATGGATGACCCGATTCATTTCGAAATAATAAAATACTAATTTTTGGTATTTTTAAGACTGTAAGGCCTTTGTTTTTCATGAGATTCTAGGGAAAGACAGAGAGGGAGAGAGCCAGAGAGAGAGAGCGAGCGAGACCAACAGAGAGGGAGAGACAGCCAGAGAGACAGAGAGACAGAGAGAGCGAGAGAGAGAGAGCAAGGGAGCGTTAGTGAGAAATTGGCTTGACTGTGAAAATTTTTAGATTTTTTTTTGCCAGCTCATACTCAAGAATGAATAAATTAACAATACCTATTTTTCTACGTTGCAACGCTTATTCAATACCTTTAATGCTTTAAATCGTCTTGATTTCGCAAAATTTCAAAGGTATTTGTAATTTTAGCTGTCCTGGTTTGTTAACGGGACCTCAAACGGACGTTCTTTGATCCCCATCCCAAATTGATATCAATCCCCACCTTGTCCTGATTTATTGAGCCCGATATTACCGTGCTGTTTTCATCTCCCATATCACACTCGGCGCATCCATAAAAAGAACCCGTTTTCCTTTTTTTAATTAATGAGAAACGGATTAGGGGAAATCCGCGGGTGTTCCGGGATACCCCACGATCTTTCTTCACGAGATAAGCCCAATTTTTGATCCCAGGAAACGGAACGGTTCATTCTAGATACACGCATCGTTTTGTTGATTGGATTGAGCCTTGGAACGTTTGAAAGCACTTTTTATTAATTTATTGCACTTCGGAAAGAATAATTATAATTCCGGATTTTGGAAATTTTACTAAATGTACGAGGGAATATTCGTACCAGCACGCACCAAAAATACATGTCGTAATCGATTCCCTGTGCTTCCGCTTCCCTAGAGCTTTAGGGGCAAATTTTGTTATGGAAACGCTTGATACATAGATTTCACTTCGTAATCGTTTAATACTTTAGAGATGCAGACAAATCGCGTTTCGCAACCTGAATCCTCTGTGGCAAATAATCTTTGCTAGATTGACGTCGTACTTCTATTTGACTTGACGAAAGGAAAGTTCCGCTTCTTCCCGAAGTTTTTCTGCTAGCCTGTCTTGCTTTTCAGAGAAATTTTAGTCTTTGAAATACTTGAAGAAGAGAAAGATTACGTTTTGGAATGATAGAATTTCAATCTAGGAGGTTTTAGAAGACGATCCTGGGAGGTTTTCCCTAAGAATCGCTGCTAGTTCCCCTGCCTACGT